CTTATTTCCCCATTAATTTTAAAAGATAGTTTTGCAGAGTACATCAATCTGGGTTGGAGATTGTTTTCTTTTAGAACTTTAACTACTTTAGTCTAAGCTCTCCTTGAATTAAAAGTTCATGTTGAGAAGTGTGCTGTGATTCTAATGGGTTTTTCTTTATGGGTGATTTGTTTCTTTTCTCTAAGAGCTTTTAATGTTCTGCTCTTATTCTGAATTTCTGCAGTCTTGACTATTATATCCATTGGTGTAGATTTTTTATTATTTCTTCTACATACCTCCACTGTTGGATTGATTTTATTTTCTCTCATTGAGTTTATTGGTACATTTTAGGTATACAGTACAGTTACATCCATCATTGGGATCTTGTACCTTTACATGACAGGTCTTGATTCTCATTTTTTCCCCTTACCAGGATTGATTTTTCAGACTATCTTGCTATTTTAAAGAAATCTTTCTTTTCATAGTTGCTAACCACAATCATAACTTCTAAACCTGATATTCTGTTCTCACATTAGTTCATTCTACTGTCTATACTTTCAAAAGAATTTTTAATATCTTGGATATCTGTATTAATTTGTTTCATGGATTCCATTTCTTTCCTATTTTGGACATTCACAGTTTTTATCCTTCCCCTACGTACCTCTGTTTTTTTTTAAACCTCTGTCTAATCTAAATTCTTTAGCCAAGTCCTTCTTATGGCCATCATCTTTTTTGTAACCTAAGAAATTATTTCTGATCTTATTTTTTTCTGTAGCCTCATTCATCTGCTTTGTTACTTCCACTGCTACCATTTCAGAAAATTCGTCTTGGTGCCTTCTGATTTTCTCCACCTTATTGTCCCCTGGACTTGGCCTGTGTGGGCTGGAGATCTGGGGTTGTATCATACTTCTGTGTCTTGTCATTTTTTCCTTTTTTTTAAAAGTTATTTTCTCTGAGATGGTTGTAAATTGCTTATGGTAGGTAGCTTTATCACTATTATTTAGATCTCCCTAGGAAATAACCATTCTTCTGAGATGTGTTCTAGGGGTAGCTGGCTCTTGGCCTTTGAGTCTGTCCCAAGATCCTAACTTCCTAATTTATTAGGGGTGAGAAGTTGTTGTCTGCTTGGCCCAGCTCCCAGTCCTTTGATAACAGACCCTAGACAATCACAATTATGACCCCAGATGATAACAATGTTGTCATACAAGGAAGAACAACTGATCACACCAGGTATGACTCCCTGCCTTAAGTAGTACAATTACCAATAATAATAATACATCAAACACAGCCTAGAAACTAACAAACTATAGTGACTATTAATTTAGTAGCATTAACTATAAGAGCAAAAATCTTTCGTTATATGTCTGCAGTGAATTTCCCCTTAGTAGTGATTTTATCTCCGGGGGGAAGGATTTAAGAGAGACAAGGGGGGAGGGGAAATGCAGAAATAAATGAAAATAAAGATATTTGAAGCAAAGCTGAAGGACAAAGGAAGATTACTCAAGCTTTGAGAAAATGGAGATGAAGACAGGAGAGAAAGAATGGGGGGAAATTAAAAGAAGATCAAAGCAAATCAGAAAAACTAGAGACAAGTGTTCCTCACAGGAAAAAATTTTTAAAAAGCCAAGAGAAGAGAAAAAATTACAACAATGAGCAAAACAATACAAAATAAACAACAAAAATAAAAAACTCAAACAACCAACCAAAACAAAACAAAACACAAAAACTCATATCAACAACAAAGCACAAACTTTTTCTGACCACAATTCTGTAGCTGTCCTCTGTTGTCCACACTTCTATGATAGAGTCTAGGTCAGAGCCAAAAATCTATGATGCACCAAGTCTACTCTCAGCTCCACAAAATTTCCAGCCATCTTGCCAGATGGCTGTGAGGCTGGGGCCCAAGTCTTCAGTCAGTAACTCTCTGAATGTCCCTTGGGGACCCGCCCCAGTCTCCTTACTCTGTATGTCTGTGTGGCCATTGCCCAAGACTGCTCTGAATCCTGCAGTCAGTTGGTCCTTCCCAGTCCTTACACAGCCTCCTGTTTTCCACTCCTCTAGCACATCTCTCCCCTCTCTCATACCACTTGGAGGAGGAAGGGGTGTTGTGCTGTAATCAGACTCCCTACTTGCACCCCTGCTCTCCCTTTCCATGGCCACTGCTATCTCTACAGGTTCTAATTAGCCTAGGGCAAGGTGCACAGCATTTGCTGTTCTGCTTCACTGGTGTGTTTCTCCCTGGGAGGGCCCCAGTCTTGCTCACTTTCAGTGGAACCCTCTCACACATGATCTGGGCCCATGAATTCAATATAGATGGTTCCCAACTCAATCAGAGGTTCTTCTTATCCTCTCATAGTCTGAGAACAAACTAGTAGACCACCATGGGTAGGGAGGCACCTTCTTTGTCGCTTGCCTCTGTGCGTCTCCACTTTTCTATTTATTTCCCTATTGTAACTTGTTTGAATACTGCTCTTAGAAATGCAACATATAAACTAAAGACCCTTTGAAAATGTATGTAATATTAAAAAAACAATATAAAGACATAGGAAAAAATAAATTGGACTTATGTAAATTAGAATTTTTTGTATCTCAAAAATAATTAGGAGTGTACAAAAGTCCAAAGGATAAGCAATATTATTTGCTAAATAACACATCTAATAATATTTCTATGTTATAGAAATAAACCTTACAATTCAGAAATAAGACAAATGACCCAAATTAGAAGTAGACAGGGATCTGAATAGATATCTCTCCTAAGAAGACATACAAATGGCCAAAAAGCACATGAAAAAACAGTCAGCACCTTTAGCCATTCAAATTCAAAATCAAAATGCATTGCTTTTTCTTTTCCACTATGATGACAGTAATAAAATTAAGCAATCGGGATTGTAGGCCAAGATATTGAGACTTTAGAGCCATCACGCTTTACTGGTGAAATTGTGAAATGATGTGGCCACATTAAAAAGCAGTCTAGTAGGTCCTTAACTGTGTCAAACCAAATTATCATATGACTTAACAACTCTGCTCTTTGGTTTGTACCCAAGAAGAAAACTGGAAACATATTCACAAAATTTGTATGTAAATATTCATGGCAACATTAACCCTAATACCAAATGCTTAACAACCAACCAATGAATGAAAAAAGACAATGTTGTTTATTTATACAACAAAATATTATTTGACAAAAAATTAACTACTGGTGCATGCAGCAACATATAGTACATGCACCTTGCAAGTCCTATGCTAAGTGAAGTAATTTAATTACTAAAGGTCACATATTATGTAATTCTGTCTACATAAGTGTCCAGAATAGGCAGATTCAGAGACAGAAAGCAGACAGCAGGAGGAGTGGAAACGGGGGCGTGATAAGTGAGTAGATATATGACTTCCCTTTGAGGTTATGAAAATATTTTGAAACTAAAGGCAGTGTTACAGTTGCACAATTCTGAGAACATACTAAAGTCACTAAATTTTACATTTTACAAGACTGGATTTAATGATATAGGAATTATATCTCAAAAAACTATTATAAAAGCACAATATTGTATACACTATTTTTGTTTATTTGTTTGTTTGTTTTGAGACAGGGTCTTGCTAGGTAGTTCAGGCCAGCCCTGAACTCACTACATCCTCCAAGCTGCCCCTCCACTTGTGGTGGTCCTTCTGCCTCAGCCTCTTGAGTGTGCTGGGATTATAGGTGTGCACCACCACATCTGCTGTATTCACTTTTTAAACAAAAACTTTTTAATTTTTTTTTTTTTTTTGGTTTTTTGAGACAGGGTCTTACTAGATAATTGAGACTGACCTGCAACTCACTATATGGCCCAGGCTGGTCTCGAACTGACAGTGATCCTCCTGCCTCAGCCTCCTGAGTGCTGAGGTTATAGGAGTGCCCCACCATGCCTGGCTTCTAATGTTCTTTTTTACTTGTTTATAGTTTATAATTTCAAGCCAATTTAAATTTTCTATATTTTTTAGTACATTAAATACGTAGGAAAATGAAAATAGCGAAATTTCACTAAAAATACCTACACGAAGAGAAAGCCAAATTGAAGAGTCAAAATTCAAAATTGTCTTGAAGTTTTAATTTTTTCAAACACATAGTGGAGTTGCAATGTATTGGCAAGTAAAACTCAGTGGAGGTGGTTTTATTGGACAACAAAAGATAATTAACTGAAACTCCAGAGCTTGTCAGACTGGATCTCCTGAAAAGTCTAAAAGCAGTAGCCTGAGAGGCCAGCTTGCTCCCTTCAACCCTGTTCACGGCAGTTCATATTTCAGTATGAAAATACGTAAGCAAACATGCTTGAGGGCAGTGATACCCAGAAATTCTAGGTTTTTTTCCCCTTTGCATTCATGTTTACCTTGCACACCCCTTGGGTTAAGTGTTGTTATTGCATTGTTAGGTAGGTGACTTGTTCTGGAAGTTCATTGTCTGCTTGGGAGATGTTGCTTATGTTAAGGTATACACTGCCCTGACAGTTCTCCAACTTGTGTTGTTGGAATGCAAACTGTGGTCAGGCATACAAAAATTTTTCAGCAAAACTTTGTTTGCTTGCACCCGTTTATGGAAGATCTGTCTGGGGAAACCACATCCATGTGTGTGCACCACTGGGGTTCCTTACCTTCTTTTTAGAAAGAATTGAAAGCTGGAACAGACCTTGCACTGAACAAACATTTGTGCTTGGCTCAGCCACCAGGACGTGGGGAAATTGCTGTGTCATTTCCTGTTGAGCTTCAATTTCTTCATTCGTTTTAATAATCTGTCCAGTGGACTGTGAGGACCAAAGTCAAAACAGATGAAGAAAACCCTCTCTGAGGCCGTAGTGGTGCACAGCTACAGTCTGAGCCACCAACTGTTCTGAGGCAGGAATCTAAGACCAGCCTGTGCAACTGGGTGAGACCCTGTCTCAAAACAAAGTGTAGCCAATAGCCCTAGAGGTGACCAAGTATTTTCAGAAGTCTGGTGATGGTTGCAATGGAAGAAAACTTCTTAAAAACTATGGCTTTTTTCTATTTAGATGGCACCGTGTATCTCTATGTTGTGAATCATCCTCACATGAAGTCCACTGTGGAGATATTTAAATTTGAAGAACACCAACGCTCTCTCCTACACCTGAAAACTGTAAGACATAAACTTCTCAAGAGGTACAGAATTAAAGGCTTGTGTACTTCTATTTATTTTGCACCACCACTGTGTGACTTTTTCCCCTTTGGTTCAGCAGGCTTTCTTAAACTTGTTGTTTTGCAGCAATTTTTTCTAAAGCTCTTTAAAGATTCCCATGGTGACACTGCCCAACACCTCACCAGAAATTGCTGTGTTCAGTATTGAATATCCCTATATTTTTCAACTTTTTGAAAGCGTTTTAATCCCATAAAGGTGTTCAATTAGATTCCCAGCTCTAATTCTATCCTCTTTACCACAGCAACTCAATACCTACTATTGGGGAGTCTTTAAACACCTACTCCCTTTTCTAATTGTATTCTAGGAGCCTCACCCACTGGGCGTTAAACCAGCCTCCACAAGGGCCATTTCTTTGTTCAATAAGAGGTTTTAAATGGAATTTGGTAAAGCCCATGGGTACTTATAAGAAATGCATTTATTAAATGTTGACTATGTATTGGGCATTATGCCAAAATCTTTAATTTAACTTTCTTTTCATAACAACTTTTAGTATAGCTATAAGACCAGGAAGTTTTGGGCTAGGTAACTTCTGCACATCACACAGTTTTTAACTAGCATGACCATAATGGCAACCTGAGTCCATCTGAATTAGAAGACAAGCTCCCATTTGCAATGATGAGCATCTTTCTTACTGCTTTCAGAAAAAAACAGTAAGTTCTTTTAGTGGATAAATTGCCCATTTCTAGTCTGTAGCAAACAATGAAAAATCTGTGTTTTGTAAAAGAAGCTCAACACCAAAGTGCTGGTTCTGAAATCATAGAGGTTGTCTTTTCCATAGGGAAGAAATGTGAGGAAGCTCATTGCATTGGTTCACTTTTTCAGCATCACCTGTGAATTTCTTCCCGTTGCATTTGAGGGCAGTGGAAGCAGAGAGCACACAGAGCAAGAGTGTTGGGGTTATCGAGCTTTTCCCATAATGCGGTGTGTTGGTTTCTGAGGCCATAGTGGACTAGACCTGCCAGGGAGTTACTGGGAGGTATGGACGAATCACTTAAGATGTGCTCACTTTCCTCAGTCACCGGTGAGGGTTCTCTCACAGGACTGACTTGCCCAGTGGTGGTCAGTGAGGAGCAAATGCTGCAGCATATTACTTCACAGGAAGAGACCCCTAGAAAGCACAGCCTGAAAGAAAGCCTCTTATGGACCACTTTATTAGGAAGTTCAGTCCCAGGAAGCAGAAATCAGAGACCAGCCTGAAACAGGGAAGGAGGAAGATTATGAGTTAAATTGTGTTCTGCAGGAAGATACGCTGCGATCTCATTTACCTATGCCTCAGACTATGACCTTACTTAGAAATAGGCCCGTTGTTTATATTATTAAAGATGAAGTCAAACTAGAGTAGGGTACACTCAATCCACTATGGCTGGCATCCTTAGAAGAAGACATATATTCAGGGAGACTAACATGAGGTGCAGCAGTTTTGACATGACGGTGAATTTTCTATAAGCCAATGGATGCCTTGGGCTATCAGTTGCTGGAGAAGACATGTAAAGATCCCTCCACAGAACTTTCAGCGGGAAAATGTCCTTGCCAACATCTTGAATTCAGACCCCTGGTCTCCAGCACTGTGAAACAATAGCTTTCCCTCTTTTAAGCCGTGCAGTTGGTGATGGCTTGCTCTGGCAGCCATAGGAAACTCATACACAGAGAAAGCCCTAGCAAAAGTATTAACAAACCAACTATTCCTAAGTTCAACTGAAGGCTTGAAATCATGGAACTGTCCTCCAGTAAGATGCATGAGCTTCATTTCAGAGCAATATGGCTGAGAGAAGAAGAGTTTAATCCACAGCCCCTCCTCCCATTAGTCAGAAGTTTGCCTCAAGAGTCCTTAATCTCCTCCATAGTCTCGGACGTCTATGTGCAAGTCAGATCAGGCGGTAGCCTGTGCTTTGACATCAACCTGAGAGCCTGGAAGGGAGCCTCATGAGGTATGCCACTGTCGGTGGCACCTGTGGGAAACAGAGGCAGCTGGAACAAGATAGGTGGGGACAGAAATCTGAAGTGGAGCTGCAGGGGTGACTTGCTTCACACACTGACCAAGCACGGACAGCAGGCAGAGCAGAACGCTGGGAAACATGTTGTGAGGGAATTTAACTTATGGTAGGAGGCAAGAGTTTTGGGAAGAAGGAACAGTTAAACTAGGACATGAGAGGGTCATAGCCCATGACCTTGGGGAGGGTGTTATATATCAAACCTCAAAGTATTCCCAAATCCCTCCAAATTTGCTTCCCTAAAATTTAATCTAAAACCCCTGAATCTTCCTTTCCATTTTTCTTTTTCAAAATGGAAATGATTACTGTTTTTATTGATTGTAAAAATAATGTTTGCTTCATTTAAAGATCTTTTAGTGGTGTGGGAGTAATATAGCTATTTGGTTAGCTGATGCAGGAGGGACATTTGAGAGCTGGAGTTTGAAGCTAGACTGGGCTTTTTGAAGAAAAAGGAAGAGAACAAGATGAGGGAGGACCAGGAGGAGGAGGAGGAGGAACAGAAAAAAAGGTCCTAATGAGGGGCTGGGGATTTAGCTCAGTGGTTCTGTCTCCTGCCTCACAAGCACAAGGATCTGAGTTTGATCCCTCATGCAAATAAATAAATAAGCTCCTAATTACATTAAAAAACAAAAGAAAGATCACCCATAATCCCATCTATAATGCTCAAGAGGGAATGAAATAAGCTATGATAACAGGAAGAAACACCTGTGGCTCAAGACCACATAGTGTGGTTTGATTTGGTTTAGTTTTATTTGGTTTTCTCAGTCTTACCACAATAGACGTGTAGGTGACTAAGGGACTTGGTTTCATTTAGGGACATATGCAGACAGTGCTCATTACTATGTAAACCAGGTGGATCACTCACTGGCTCTCACAGTCTTCTACCCAGAAGCCACACACATTTTATTTCATTAGTCAAAGCAAGTCATGCATTTATGCCTAATGTTTAAGTCTAATTCCTAAAGGACGAAAATAAAAAGGGCCACAGACAACCATTATTAATGTTAGACTTTGGAGTTTGATGTTTATTTGTATAATAGTTCATTGTTACTTTTTGAAATTGATGTGTTAGTGATTTTGACAACAGTCAAGATATTAAAATACTCTATGGGTCACCCTCTCTTTCTCTCTCTCCCTCCATCTTTCCTCCTGTCTAGTGTGAATGACATTGTGGCTGTTGGACCAGAACAATTTTATGCCACCAGAGACCACTATTTTACCTGCTTTTTCTTGACACTCCTTGAGACGATCTTAGGTCTTCGCTGGACTTACGTTGCATTCTACAGTCCAACAGAGGTCAAAGTGGTAGCCAAAGGATTTAATTCTGCCAATGGAATTACAGCCTCACTAGACCAGAAGTATGCTCTTTTATCATTTTTCTTCCCTTGCCTTTAATATTTTGGTGAACTCCTTCCCTTAAGAGGTGTCTTGGGCTAAAGAAGTCACTATATTCGGGGGGGTCAGTTGTGGTCGGCGTTCAGACTAGTGTGTGATCTAAAGAAGACCATTTATTGTCTTGTGCTTCAGATTCCCCAGTATAAGGAGGGATCAGACTGAAAAAAATAGCTCCTTGTTCCAAATGTTTGTATGACTCTAAAAACACTTTGCTAATACATTGAAAATTTATACAAATGTACAATACCTGTACCCCTTATGAGGCTAGCAGGTATTTAATCACTTCTACTAAGTTCAGTTATCTAAAACCTTGTACTAGAGAGTGAGGCCTACAAGGAGAGGGGCATTTTAATCATAGAAATTGAAGACCTACTGATGATGTGTAGCAGCAAAGTATTTCCTGACTCTTTTTAAGTAGCACGCAATTTTATGAGACAACTCTTTAGAAGTGTTGGAAACTTGAAGAATTTTTTTAAAAAGAGAAGAACCTTGAATATAGACATGTAAATTTGAGATAATGAAGAACGATGAACCCTGGAGAAAAGTACCAGTAAGTGTTCCTGCTCTTTAAGGAAAAATGATTGTGACCAAACTTCATGGTCATTTGATACTTCTTTTCAAGCACTAGATTTTGGAAATACGACTCTCTGGGCCTTAGAAGAGGTCCACTTATCTCCATTTGATTTAAAGAAAAACTTGTAAATTCTCAGAAATGAGATCGCACCTGAATGTCATCTGAAATGCCAATTTTGTCCTTTATAGTCATCTCTCATATTCAAAGTCCTTCTAAACATTTCAAGGATATTAAAAGTACCACTCCATTATCTTCTTTTACAGTGCTTTAGAAAGGCACTTCAAGTGTGGTGGTACATCAAACTAGTCCGAATTTTCATATCTGGGCTCCAAAATAAGGGTCAGCATCAAATCTCATTACTACTTGCTTAAATGTCACTGTTATTTACTTCAAAGGTATATCTATGTGGCTGATGTAACAGCTAAGAACATTCACATAATGGAAAAACATGCTAACTGGAATTTAACCCCACTGAAGGTAAAAACACCCAGGCTCACCCACACAACATGGTCTCTAGCTCCAGTCCCATCAGCCTCCTTGAATGAAGGAAGGATGAATGATTCTTTGAGGGCAATACCTGTGAGATCATGCTTCTGTTTTATGTGTACATGCCTAAGTGCCCTAAAAACAATAATCTCAGGTTCCCAGAATTGCTGGGGGCTGGGGACAGTGGGTGGGACAGGGAGAATGTTGAGATAACACCTGCACCACTTCCCTCTTGTTGGAAGGTAATACAATTGGACACCCTTGTGGATAACTTGAGTGTTGATCCTAGCACAGGAGATATTTTGGGAGGATGCCATCCTAATGCCATGAAGCTGCTGAACTATGACCCTAATGACCCCCCAGGATCAGAAGTAAGTGCCACAGGCAAAGCTATGAGGATGAACAATTTGTTGAGATGATGGGAGAGGATTTAAGTGGGTGACGTTTGATTCTGGTGGAGATTTTGAAAGGGAAGGGAGATATAATTCCTTACCCCTTTCAGGTCAGCAGGTGCCAATATAACATCAGTCCCAAACAATATGTCTCATCCGTGCAAGGACTATATTTGCTGTTGGGGGGAATGGGAAAATATGAACTTATTATTCATATTGACCTAGATTGCCTACGGTTTTTATGTCCTGTGGTCAGATAGGGACATGTATGAGATCACCTCCTTTCAGACTACCTATTTATTTAAACCTCAAATAAAAGCGTTTAAATGAATGAAACCTCAAAACTAAATTTTTTTTGCTGGGGATTTAGCTCAGTCGTGCCTCCTCCTGCCTCATAAGTTCCAGGACCCAAGTACAATCCCTGGTACCAATAAAAAAATAAACAAATAAATAAATAAATAAATAAATAAATAAAGTTTTGTGCCTCTAGGTTGTAATATATATGAAACTGTTAAAGAATGTCTTGTTTTGAAGATTTTTTTTGGCTATTTAGGCTGGTGTGGTGGCACATGCCTATAATCCGAGCACTCAGAAGGCTGAGGCAGGAGGACTTCTGCAAGTTTGAGGCCAGCCTCAGCTACATAATGAGTTGTGAACTGCACAACAAAAGCCTGTCTCAAAAAGAAAAAAAAAATTTTTTTTTTTAAAAATAGCTCTTCTAGCAGACTCTTAAGAAGCGGGGAGGGAGGGAGAGACAGGGAATGTATGAGATCACCTCCTTTCAGACTACCTATTTATTTAAACCTCAAATAAAAGCGTTTAAATGAATGAAACCTCAAAACTAAATTTTTTTTGCTGGGGATTTAGCTCAGTCGTGCCTCCTCCTGCCTCATAAGTTCCAGGACCCAAGTACAATCCCTGGTACCAATAAAAAAATAAACAAATAAATAAATAAATAAATAAATAAATAAAGTTTTGTGCCTCTAGGTTGTAATATATATGAAACTGTTAAAGAATGTCTTGTTTTGAAGATTTTTTTTGGCTATTTAGGCTGGTGTGGTGGCACATGCCTATAATCCGAGCACTCAGAAGGCTGAGGCAGGAGGACTTCTGCAAGTTTGAGGCCAGCCTCAGCTACATAATGAGTTGTGAACTGCACAACAAAAGCCTGTCTCAAAAAGAAAAAAAAAATTTTTTTTTTTAAAAATAGCTCTTCTAGCAGACTCTTAAGAAGCGGGGAGGGAGGGAGAGACAGGGTAAAGGAGGGTAATGTGGGGTAGACAGAACAATGAATGTTATATCCATGTATGAAAGTCCCACAGTAGAACCCATTACTCTGTATAATCGATATGCATTAATACAAATATCTTTTGCAAAACAATAATATAAGTCACTGAATTTCTGAGGCATTAAAAACAATAGCACACAGCATCATGTTTTCTGTGGCATCACATTTAAGAATAAAAAATTCTCTAGGGAATTTAACTGTAGCTGTAAGTTCTTGGCAAGCATATTCTGAGCTATATTTTCGCATTCACTACACACCTATCATATGCCAGATATTGTTCTAATACTTAGGATATATTAGAAAGTCAAACAGAAAGTCTGCTTTTAGGGAGGGGAGAACAGATACTGAACAATGAGCTTAGGAAATAAGTGAATCACAGAGTAAGCCTGAAGATGCTAAGTTCCATGGGAAAAACAGTACATCCAGGTAAAGAGAGTCAGCATTATTGTGAACGAGAGGTCAGGCAGGCCCAAATATTAAATAGAAAGCATAACAGACCTCGTTGAAAAGATGTGTTTTCAAGGAAGACAGGTTTGAGGAGGGAGATTCAGATCCTAGCCTGGTAATTGATCCAGTGGCTAATTTAGAACATAAAGTTAGCTCTGCTGAAGGATATTGCTGTTTTCCAGTTAAATTTTTTCTCTTAACATATTAGTCCCAGCTTCTTAAAAAGAAGAGCACCAGTGAAACATAAAAAGAAACAAAAGTCTAGCCTAAGTCTGGAATCAGTAACCCCAAGTTAGCAAACACTCCTTGCTTCAGATATGCACCCCACTCTATCACCAAGTTATAGATACAACTTTCCTACAAAAACATGACTATAGCATTTGCTTTAAGATGATACAAATGCACCCCACAGAATGACTGAAAAATTGGTCAGGACTTGTTTTCGCATCTCTATTTTGGTGGAGGTGCGGGATCTTCTTTAAAATTAAAACAAAACAAAACAAAACAAAACTCAGTAACAGCCACACCAAAAAAATCCTCTAACTCCAGTCTGATAAGAGGAGAGATGTTGATAAAGATTCACAATTCATGAATTACTGATTGTTTTTCTTTAATTCCTCTCATGTTTTGTTTGAATGGATTTAATCCGGGGTCTTTGGAAACCTGAGTGCTTCTGGAATCACTGATTAGCAAAGTTAAGTGTTTAGGGATCAATACCAGCACAAGACATAGATGTGTCAGCTGGAATTCTGAACAGTGTGTGTTTCCTGCTTCCTAGCAACTTTACAGATATGAGGGGGTCCAGCTGTGGTAACCATCATTCTCCCAGTCACCAGTTTGGGGTGGCTTCTTGACTCAGCTCCCTTGAGCTTGTTGTCCTGAGTCTCTCCCTCACCCTATAGGGCTCAGTCAAGTGCAAGGCCCTCCCCATGGAGGCAGAGACACTGTCTGCTGAGGAAGTAAAGTGTGTTCATCGAGTGTAACCTCATTCTCTAGGGGATATCTGAATTATCAAAATCATTTAAGCTTTCTTTTGAGGAATTTGGCTAACATCAGATAACCAGTTCATTTTAGTGCATAGATTTCATATCTTCATCAGAGGGAGAATGGTTTCAGATAGGTCTCTGAAGAGATATACATGCCCTAGTACATGGGGAAGAAAACATCACCAGAGAGCCACTCGCTCATACATTGTGCTCACAGTGATCTTCTCTTGACAGGTACTACGCATCCAGAATGTTTTATCTGAAAAACCAAGGGTGAACACTGTCTACGCCAATAATGGTTCTGTTCTTCAAGGCTCCTCGGTGGCTGCTGTGTACCATGGGAAAATACTGATAGGCACTGTGTTTCACAAAGCTCTGTATTGTGTGCTCTAGGCTTGAGAGACTCCAAAACTTCCACATGTCTGGTAAAAGTGAATTTGTCATTGTATGGTAAGTTTAAAAAGAGCAGAGAGAAATTACATAATAGTTACCACATGGCAAGTTAGGTGAGTGACAGTCCACCAAGAAGCCGGAATGCTCCTCACGGTCAGACGTGGCCAATATTGTCCGACCATGAGAAGTGTGAGCTGTGGCCATAGCAGCTAGGGCTCATGGAAAGACCCTTGACAGCAGTGTGACAAAATCACCTTCTACAACCACAATGTTGAGTCTCTAGCAGTCCAGTCCAGGAGAAAAGCCATGTTCAAGGAATTATGATTTCTCTTCTCTTCTCACAATTTTGATGGAAATCAACTGCTAATCAAGTGCCCCTGCCTGCAGCTCAAAGCAAGAATTGGTATCACGAGACTGTCCAGAGCCATATGTTCCCCCCAAGTCCAAACACAGGGGAATCGGGATCAGTGAAATTTGCCGGACACATAGGACTAGTGTGGTCATTTGTAACAGGTCTTTCTTTGTATTGATATTATGTGTCAGGCATTGTTAATCCTGCTTAGTTCTGACGGTGAAATGCAGCCTCGGGGCAGTTATCTTGCATCACTTTCAGCTTCCTCTACTGGTTAATTCAATAAGCATCTCTTAAGCAACTTCCTATGCACTTGGCACTAATAAATCTGAAATGAATAAAGTGGTCCTGGCCTACATAGGTTCATCAGCAGATGAATGGATAAACAAAAGGTGATGTTTAGGCACAGTTCTTTTTTAATGTCTGTCTGCCATAAAGAAGAATAAACTCAAATCATTTGTAGGAAAATAGATGCACCTTGAGACCATAATGTTAAGTGAAATAAATCAGACACACAAGTCTACATATTGTATGGTTTCTCTTACATGAGAAAAATAAAGTATATATAAAAAGCAAAATGAAAGACAGATAATAGGAAATAGGGAAATAGATCTTTTGCAAGTGGGAAGGCAACCAAGAGATGGAAGGAAAGAGGAGGAAGGGAGGGGAAGGGAAAAGGATGAACAACTAAGATTTTATATGCACCAACTCCCTATGAGGAATGTAATCATTATGTACTGCCAACATGTAATAATACAAAATAAAAATTGAAAAAAAAACTTTAAAAAAGGATGGTTCTGCCTAATGTGTTTTCCAAAGGACTAACCCATATAGCAAGACCCTGTAGCAAATCTTACAAAGTTATCAAATGGTGGGGTGTCCCTCGGTGCAAAGGCACTGGGTTCAATCTCCAGTACCGGAAAGAGACAGAGATGCTAAACCAGCCCTATTGATGAGAATGAATAAAAGTGTGCCATTCTTGGTCAAAACAAGAATAATATTTACCCCATCATTAATGAGAATCAATGTGTCAAAGCACATTTTTATGACTTTTATTAGGGAGTGGCTATTGATTTTTTTCCCTTCTGCAGATGGTGATTTGGGGAGTTTTTTAATATCCTAATTAACACTGCTCAATTAGAAGTAAGTTTTGCTGAAAGTTTTTATTAGGGTAAAATTCTACTTTTTCAGCCCATGGAAACCTTTAGACAGTAAGGTTTTGTGGTTTTCATTGCTTAAAAGGAAAAATGGCACAAAAGAAAGTTATAGTTTGTTTTACGTTTCAAAAGTCTAGCCTCTTGAGGGAATAGAGAAAAAATGAAATTAAGAGCATATATACAACATACTCCATCCGAAGAATCTAAAAATATTTTATCCCTGAGCATCACATCAGCTGGACTAGATGAAGCTTGCCAGACTAGGGCAGAATAAAGAGTTAGAGATGAGACGACTAAGAGATTTGAGGTGCTAGAGGGTTTCTGAGAGCTGACCCTTCACTGCTTTCTCCCAGGCCTTGTTAGAAAAAGCTGGATGATAGACCTTTCCAAGAAATTTGGGGGTTCTGATGACTGAAAGAATTATGTGTCCTTTTTCAGGGGTTGCACAGGAAAGTGGCAAAGCCATGAATTTCCCCTGGGCCCAGTCTGATGCAAAAGCAGAGAGGTGCCAGTGTGGTTCACCAGGCACAGCACAGAGGCTCTGACGTTATCTGCACTCGAAGCTGACACAAAAGCAAACCAATTTTCATGCACTCAAGAGGGTGTAGAAGTCAGCAGAGAGAGAACCAGTGGGTCTAAAGATGTCTTGCTATAGGGGAGAAGACAAATAGGCATTTGATTAGCGTGAGACCAGGGCTTAGATGATAACAAGGACCAGACAGCTCCTGTGGTGCTTCAGCTCTGCCAAAACCTCCTAGGATTTAGACAGAAGGATTGGGAGGGGGATGTGGGGTTGTTTTATATATCAATTCCTGCTGCCAAACCATTTGGAGACTCAAAATTAAAATTACAGGAGGTTATGGGAAAGAAATTTCTGGTGTATTTTATGAATTCAGCTTTTTCTGAGTTGGCGCAGTACAGAGTAGAAAGGGCTAAAATCTTTTGCTAACAGATGTATGGTTACAGCCTTTCCTTGGTGGTTCTGTAACCAAAACCAGTTGCTAACAAGATGTGCCCTCTTCTCAGATGTCAATGCAAGATTTAATTCTGGCTTAACCTCATGTACGCTTTGCCCCTGCTCTAATCCAAGTAGGGCTGATATAGTTTAGATCAAGAATGATCCCAACCCCTACCCCTGACTCTCATGCTCGCAGTGGCTGGGATTTTGGAATGTGACTGAAACACAGGTCCACTACACTAACAGCCAGATATCCCGTCAGAAGGTGTGCTGCTGAGGGAAGAGGAGGGTCCCTGGGAGTATGACCCGGAAGGGCACATCTCTGACCGGCTCTCCCTCCTCTCCCTACTTCTTGACCACCCTGAAAGGAGCAGTTTGCCTCTGCCTGGTCCTTCTGCCTGGTGATTTCTGTGCTGTTGCCACCCAGCCATGGACTGTGAGCCAAAGTAAACCTCTTCCTTACAGTGTAAGTGTCAGGTATTATGTCTCAGTGACAAGAAAGTGACTAAAACAGAGTTCCCTCTCCCAGTATGACATCTTGTTGGAAGAGGCCCCCGTGGGATGGCTCAAATTTAGAGGCAAATAAACTATTCTTACCCAAAGGATAGGAGTATAGGTTGCCCTACTCATAATCCCTCTGCCCTGTCATCTTCTTTAACCTTTCCTCCTCTTCTTAAGTAGGCACAAATTTATTGGAGGTTTCTTGCCAAAACAGTCATCTAACTTCCCCTCTCCCTATGTAAGCCGTCCCAATCTTTATGTGAATGTCTTGAGCCTGTTCAAGAGACCTGGAGGAGGGTAATTACCTTCTCAATTGATGCTGCATGTTGGTCACTCATCCCCTTGCTCTCTCCAGCCTTTCCAAGTAATTGTCAGAGATGTAGGTTGGCGATAGGACACTAGGGTGGTGAATGAAGGACACAGAGCTCTCTCAGGAGCCACAAGTCAACTCTAACTGTAATATTTGCCTCTAAATGCTTTCAGCTATTCCTACAATGTGAAATGCTCAATGATGCCCTTTTATTGATGATGGTTTTTCAGTCTTGCTGAGTTATTAAGGCTGGCCTTGAACTTGCAGTTGTCGTCCGTAGCTAGGATTACAGGCCCATGGCATTATATTGGGCAGTTGTCATTATTTTTTGCCTTTAGGTGCTAACTCTGAGCACAGGAAAATTTTTGGTCTCTTTCTTTTATATCCAACCTGTTTTAGTTTAGGTAGCAGGGACATTTAGAATATTCAACAGTGTTGCCAGATATGAGCTGGCCTACATTAGCAACAGCAACTGCAGATTTCAATGGACAATGATATACCAGTCAACATGACAGCAAAACTATATAACATCTAATCAATAAATAACTAAACCTATTAAGAACTCTATGAAGGAAATATTGAAACTTTAACAAAAAAGCTAGAAAATATACTACATATATAGATACACAATTTATGTGGTCTCTTTTCTTTGAGACAGGGTCTCTTTATGGAGTTCAGACTGGCCTTGAGCTCACTATGTATATAGCCCAGGCTGGCCTTGAATTTATGGTGATCCTCCTGCCTCAGCTTCCCAAGTGCTAAGAGTACAAGTGTGCACCGAGATATACATTTTCGTCTTGAATAAACTTACAAGAATATAGACTCTTTCCAGATTGCTCTATAAAATCAAAGTCCACTAGGATTTTTATGAAATTCAATGCACTTAAATTTTACAAGGAAAATTTTTATTTCTTGTAATGCAGTAGGTTAAATAATTTAAGAGCAAATTGCCTAATGAAAACAACAAAAAATAATTAATACAAAGATTTAAAGATATTTTTGAAAGCAGGCAACATCTCACAAAATATCTCTGAATCATCAAGTCATAAGTGAAAGCTGAACTCCAAAGAAGTAATTAGAATTGCAGTCATCCTCGCCTTAAGGGCCTCTTCTGACCCAGTGGAGCACTAGACAGGAAGATCTCACAGGGGCGGGACTGAAGTGAAATCACAGGTCAGCCCAGGGTAAGGGGTCTACTAGTGCACTGCACCCTACAGAGCCCAAACCCTGTGACCACAAAGAGGCCCATGTCTTACTCCCTGAACCCTAAAAGGAAGCTTGCCATGTTCTGAGGAAAGTACCCAAAGATATTTAATGTGCTCCAAAGTGACGAGTACTGGCCTGACATCACCAAAATGTTGAGTCCACTTTCCCATGAATGGGTCAAAAAGTTCTCAAACTGTGAGAAATGGACAGTGGAATGGAGGTTACAGGAGATACAGGAGTGTGGAGGAGGGAGGGATGAAGAGAGGTGGATAAGTGGGCATGGGTTACAGTTAAGGGCAAGAAGTTGCAGTGTGCCAGGGCACAGAAGGTCACTATCCACAGTGAAGATGTACTCTACTTCAAAAAGTTGGAATGAGAGACTTTCAATATCACTATTTGGAAAAATATAAATGCATTTGAACATTACACAATGTATGCATGCATCCAAACATCAGGAAGTGCTCCATAAATATGTACAGGCTTTATATGTATACACAAATATATAGACATATGTGTATTTACTACAAATCTCAAGCTGTGAATGTAGTATAAAATCATACCAGGTTAGTATGATATCTGATAAGCTGCAAGAGACAAACACATCTTCTCTGGATTGTGTGCTAGGTCTTTTGGTGCTCCTATGAATAAAAAAGAAATTCCTATAAATAATTTCCCAAGAAAAATTAGCAGCAGCTCCTGAAAACTGAAGAAATAGGGAGACATAAATGAGAACTGATGGAAACAAAATGACAGCTGAGAGAGACTCTCAAATTTGAAGGAAACATTTTTCACTCTTTACTTTCAGTGTCTTTAATAGGTGTTTCTCCCTAGGCTGGAAAGGAAGATATCTAAAACATTAAGGACTCAGATGCCTTGGGATAGTTACCCAAATCCTGTCAGTGCCCCTCCTAAAGATGGCTCATTTATTATAAATCATGTAGGTAACAAATAAATGCAGGGCCAAAATGCTCAGATAAAATCATAGATGAGCAATACATGTGGCTAATTATTGGAAATAAATCTTGATTCATCTCAAATGTTTTTCCCTGTCTGTTTTTTTGTTTTGTTTTGTTTTGGTTTTTGTATGGGGGAATGAACACAGGGCCTTCACACTGAGCTACATCCCCTGCCTTCTTTATTTTGAGACAGGGTCTTTCTAAATTGCCCAGGATGGGCTCAGACATGCAATCCTCCTGCCTCTGCCTCCCAGAGTGCTGAGATTACAAGGGTACACCACCACAGCTAGATCATTCTCAAACTTTCAAGGAAGCAATATGAGTTGTACCAAAGGAAAGAAGAAAGGAAGGAAAGAGGGAGGAAGGGAAACAGAGTGAAA